TTTTTTATATACATATAAGTTACCAAAATTGTCTTTTCAGAGTTAAAATTTTACAAAAGACACACAAGTAAATTTTACTTTTTTTTGAATTATATACGGTGAAGCCAGATGATAAACTATACATCGTACAGGTTTTATCACCTTATAGGTCTCGTCAACGGTGATAAGGCCCCAAGTTTTAAACTTATGAGGAGACTGAGGGAAATTAAAATTCATTAACATATTGTCAAAATATACATGAGGACGAACTCTATAGCCCCCTAATTCAACAGTTTTCCTTAGGTTTTATGATAGTCTTAACGACCCAGACACAGAAACAATCCAGAAGGGGTAGTAAACAGCTGATAAGGAATCGTCAGCATTTGCCTTCCCTGTCTACCGATAGCGGAAACTCATTCGGTGATGACTCCATATAACATCGGAGGTTTGATAGACATCTAGCTCGAAGACAACGAACGAAATTTATGATAACAATGCTTATACTTTCCTCACACATGGAAATACAGTATATCGTTTTGTCCTCCATGACCGTCGCGTATGACATTTGGCATTACATTTTACTGCATTTTGCCACCTCTCTATACAACGTTCTTGTCTGTAAAACACCCATCACTTTTATAAACATTGTCAAACGATCTGTGAACACTTCACATGGTGATATCAAAACGTTATGTAGTATGTGACACGCCGAATTGCAAAAAAGGCGATATTGGAAATGTGAGAATTTCCGCGCTTGTCAGCCTTTGGCGTATAGGCTTGATAGTCAAACAATAATTCCTTGCAAGTTCTATTTGTAAAATGATACACGCTTTTTGAAGAACAAATATGAACATAATTTTCATTTTAGTGAAACTGAGGAATATTCCAATGATTAATACACTACTTGTGAAACTGTAACCTTGTTAATGCTAACTTAGTTTTAAGCAAAAGAATCTTTTTGTCTTCGGGGAGATCTTGGAAAATGCACTTTGGTTTGTACTCGAGATACAGCTGATTACAGAGCAATGATGCCGTCGGCATATCCATTTCAAAATCCCAAAGTTGTAGTAAAATTGTAATCACAACTCATAAAGTTAAAAAATGACAATTTCAGTTCAATTGTTTTGTAGGGATTGGATTGCGTAGTTACACGAACGCTCGTGGGTTTATGACTACCGATCGGGAAAGGCGTCACATGGACTAGTTGTATTTCACCTATCAAATGGGAGTCACTTATTTTTTCAATTGATGCGCTAGAGAAAGCCGAGAAAGAAGTGACACAGTTGTGAATATTTGTATCGTAAGTGTTATCTGTAAGATTATTGGACTTTATTTAATTATTATACATTATAATTTATGTTGATTACCGAAACAAAATCTCGGCCACACGTTGATTACGTGTTAGAATAACCCTGCATGTCAAACGGGGACTACAGCGGGGTATATGAAATAGGTCAGGAATGAGATATACTGACGTATGAACAGGAGGTCACGCTGGGAACATCCTGATGAGATGTAATCTCCAGAGTATAATGCCCTGTGCTAACATCACCAAAGCAGTGCCTACAGAAATCACTGGTTAGCCAAAAATCCATATGAAATTGTATCAAACCAGAATTACCCCTTATCGTGTCGAGGTCGGGAGCAGCGAGTAAACAGCGTTAGAACCCGGTGGAACTATTTCTTTCGGCAAGAGAATCCTGTCCCACGTTCTTCAACATTGTGTAAAAATGTCATTAGCGGACAGAACTGCCACCGGGGAGTTAATATATTGACCTTAAGACTTGTAAGCTTTCGAGATCTTTGCTCGAACCTGTGCTTGTTCGTCGAAAGCATCAACCATATTTGATTACTTTATTCGGATACACACCATATTAAGAAAGAAACGTACACAAACCTAATTTCTATGAAGAAAAAACATAAAGGTACCAACATATCATCATTATGATGAACACAAATTTGATAAATTTGGTATTAAGAGGACGTTAAGCAATGTAGTAATAATAATAGTCTTTATTTATACTTGATAACAGAATGAGTCAATGACTCGTCTACCTTCTGGTCAAGTATACATAAATTGTACAATAATTACAAAATGTAACACCAAATCCAGTATAAAAACATCAAAGGTGCTTCGGAATTAGTTTTACGAACAGAGAAGTTTGGCATGTATGATCACTGTTGGGTTTATTTGGGTACTAAGATGAGTCGTGTAAAATTATCAGTGTGAAAAGTTGATTATGTAACCGCCATCATATCAAATTCGAACAGAGTTATCGGACTTTACAACCCTTCCTGGACGTGCAGAATGATGTATATCAGGCAGTTTTCGGTTACAGTGTAAGAGCACTTACGCAACGCTATCAATAACATTGTATTATTACGAAGCGCTTAAGCTATAAGTATCAGGGTTTGAAGTCCAACACAACTGACAACTGTCTAAATCAAACGTACCTGACAGAGACTACAAATGACATACAATGTACACGTCATTGAGGAGGTTAAATGATATCTCACACTATCGGTATGAATCAACGTTTTGATTTCATTGTGAGTGTTCTTAGACGACCGGACTTGCTGATCAATAACTTATTTAGCAATAAAAAGCTATTCTTTGCTCCAGAATGAATAAAACTTCTTCTTATAACAGTTTGTCACTAATCACTGGCATTCCGCTTGTGCTAGAGGTCAGGTGCTTTACACAAAACTAATAATACAAATGATACATTAATGTTTTACATGCAATACACGTGTGTATGGAAGTTAAGAGATTCAGTTTGATATTTCATGTACCCATATATAACTTCCTGTCTTGAGAAAACAATGCGGGCTATAGCAGATACATGTACGCACTGGCTATTGAAAATCGAGATAAAAAAAAAAAAAAAACTCTACAGGGCTATTGCCGTATTCCCGATTGTTTCTGTGCAGCCGCCGCTACTGATCGACTGTTTAAGATAAAAATGTTCGAAAGTGAAACATCAACCGAAAATTAGAAACACAAATTAACCTAAAGTAAGTAAAGGTAATCTAATATAACAACAATAGAACAAAGTTAAACTCGTCAATGGCCGCTCTTTTATAGCTTGTTATCAAAAGATCGAAATCTAGCACGAAGATGTTGACATCGGCTGATTTCCCAACACTTGTGGCCAATGAACGAGACTGATAGGTTGATAGGGAGGACGATGTAACAGCCTTATCAGGTCCGGGATCTGCCAATCAAGGCATCACGTACATTTCGTCCTCAACACACTAGAGTCGCCGGAAGTGGAGTTAGCAGCGAGTCAAGTTTGAATCATGACCTCGACAATTACAGTTTGACACCTTCATTTACTAAACGTTACATGTACCAGCAATTTGCACGTGCCATCATCAGTCATATGTATGCGATATCATTGTGTTTTTGGTTGTTGACGTACGTGTCATCGTAATAGTTATGTTCTTCTATGCAATTTTTGTTTCTTTCAATATGACAAATATTCTTGAAATAGCACAACAAAATGGGTTTTTTAACGTTTGCATGGTTAAAAAATGATCTTTTGAAATTACAAAAGGATTAATGAAGGGTTAATGCTAACACACCGCGACACATACAGACTTGCGTACAGCATGTCATGCATTCAGGTTATAGGAAATGGTTTTCACTTTCAAATCTTGCTGAAAAACTTCAACATTAACCTTGAGAATATAAATGTCTAGTGCGTGACTTTACAAATTATCGTTTTGTTATCGTCCTGTTTTGCAACTTCGACCTTCACATCAAATATTCCTAGTTTTATTTGTATTATTGACCCAGTAGTTATCTCTTTCTCCATCATCCGTAAATGTGACTCGCGTGAACTCTGTTGGGGATTTCTATTAAAACCATTAAAAAAAGCATTCTAACGCCGCTTTTCTTGTCTTGCGGAAATAGGACACGGGTTACTCCAGACATGTTTGATGGTGTATGGAAGCGAGCCTCCTTCACAACAGTTTAACATTATAGAGCCCAGCCCGCCGCGGTCTAAAGGCTGTAGTTATTTAAGTTTTCAATTCCATTGGCTACATAAAACCGGATGCTTGATCTAAGTTCCATGAAAATACATGATGTAATTAATACACCTATAATTCTGACTGAATGAGTATATATCAAATCGTCCGTTCTTAAAACTACGACTCCACATTGGTAGGCCCACCTAAGGACGGTCTCCTAGTGTCCGTGGAAACCCTGTTGTAACAGAACTGAAGATGATTTTAAAGTGTTATTACGATGAAATATATTTGCCAAATGTTTCCATTAAGGCGTTCCGACGAAGACAAACTGTCTTTGTTCATAAGGTGATACAATTGCTGTAAATATGTAATAATAAAAAAATCAGTAAAAGAAAAAAAAAGTTTTTGCCGCAATGTCGCGTTAATGATGTCTTATAAGAGATATTAACCCGAAATTCATGATTTTGTTCAACGTCCGAAATTATCAAATGATAGATAACCGTAGACAACAACTAAAGAGATGAAAATCGTTTATTCATTTCTGCACACAAAAAAACAAAAACAAAAAAACCCCACAGAAATCAGACAGTTCAAGTCAGATATGGAGTGTCACCTACCAATCATTATCTATCGTATCTCCATGGCCGTCCGAATCATCACACCAGAAAAGAACGTGCCATTTTCATCTAGAGACAATATTGCTGAATAGGTCCATTGCATCACTTGAACTGACAGAGCAATTTATAACAGAGAAGCAGACAGTGTCACTTGTCAGGGTCCACAGACGACTTGCCAAGATCGTCATGCCTGTGGTACCAACATGATTATCACTAAGTGGCCCGTTCTTTAATTTTCATAATTGACTTTGTACTGGGGCAATGATATTGATTCTGTCGTTGCTCTAATTGTTAATGACTAGTATACGTGTTATGTTCAGCAATGCAATAAAAGAAATGTCTGTGTATTTTTTGTCAATTTACTTAAACCGATGAGTATATGTACGGTGTGTCATGTTTATTTGATGATATGGCCGAGACCTTACCAGAATGCCGTCCCACGACGCTACCCGCAAGCGCGTATGTTGTAGGTCATTTAGTCGCGTCATCTGGTTCACTTGATTTCAACAGGATAACCTGTCCGTTGGGATGGTGATGAACTGTAGTGATAATTCCTAATTCCTTTTTTTACGTCGATCTAAACTGAAAATTTTGTCGCTGATCGCATCTTTTCAGACCATGTACATTTCAACAGGCTTGACAATCAGAATATCCTTTTGCCGGACGATTTTATGTGCCCAGGGATATTTGCAATTATAGTCTCCATTCGGCTAGATCTATATAGATGTATTAACGGCTGTGTAAAACACGATGGCTGGTGTGATAGAGGGACAATACGTTTCGATATTGATGCAACCAATCTGACCCGATAAAGGCGAGAAGCACTTGTATTACAATACTGACCCTGGGTATAAAAAAAGCTTGCATGCCGTCATGTAAATGTTCTCCCAACCAGACACATTAGTGTTATTGATGTTGTACGACGATATCATTGAAATAAAAAACTGCTCGGGATTTTTCGTCTGAATATTTTTTTATTGATAGAAAAAAAGGCCTGTCTTAAAAGAGAGCAAATAAAGAGGTCAGGCGAGTTACAGACAGACTATATTATCAGGTCTGAAAGTCATTTCTCCCCACGGAATCACAGATATATTTTGTTATAAAGTGCAACTGGGTATAACATGAACGTTTGACTATCAAAAATATTATTCATTCACTGACTATCACTGATATCATTGGTTCAGCACCCCATTGACACGGACAGTCTCGTTATTGAACACGACCTATATGAAGATATACATGTGGCCTTGCACATCCTGTTATCATTTACACGGTGTAATAAAATATCATTCCTGTATACATTGATGTCTTTGTGTTCCAGTTAAAATTAGGTCAATGTTGGCGAATCATGACTCAGCACCTTGTGTTGAGGAATCGTTTGAGACTTGTACAAAAGGTACTGCTTGCATTCAAGTAATAGATGTCCTTGACAGGTATGATAAGGCAAAGCGTTATAAAACTCCAAGTACATGTATGATTGCAGTCAGTAGAGATACTGTGATACCGAATTCCTCACATGCGTGTTATATTCCCATTAACATTATTGTAGATCTATTTCCGATTTCTTCTGAAGTTTAGAAACGGTCAAGGTTAAACACCAATTAGATGCACACGATAAATGGCATAACACATATTACGAGGACATGTAAGTGAGAATATTTTTCCAAAAAGAAGTGGCATTGAAGCAGTGTTTTTAGCAGAAAAGTTCAAAGAAATATTTTTTTAAAAACATGCCAAGCATACGTGTACTTATAGAATGTACTTAAATATTTTCAATTCTCTCCGACATTACCAGTAGGTTTTCAAATTCTTAACTATCACTTTTTTTCATCGCTCTAAATTCAAATAGATAACATTAAATGTCCTACAATATTGTTAATTGTTCTACAATATCATTAATTGTCCATTCATTGTCCTACAATATCATTAATTGTCCTACAATACCATTAATTGTCCTACAATATTGTTAATTGTTCTACAATATCATTAATTGTCCATTAATTGTCCTACAATACCATTCATTGTCCTACAATATCATTAATTGTTCTACAATATCATTAATTGTCCTACAATATCATTAATTGTCCTACAATATCATTAATTGTCCTACAATACCATTAATTGTCCTACAATACCAATAATTGTCCATTAATTGTCCTACAATATCATTAATTGTCCATTAATTGTTCTACAATATCATTAATTGTCCTACAATACCATTAATTGTCCATTAATTGTCTTACAATACCATTAATTGTCCTACAATATTATCAATTGTTCTGCAATATGTCAGTACAACATTGAGTGTAATAATGAAGGATCAACTTAAATGCAAAGCCTATATACGTTATATCTAAAGGGTAACAATGAATATTTAAAATGCACCTAATCAATGCGTGACAAACAACTATGGAATTCAGAACAGCATTAAATGTTCATAAAATTATTCAATTTTCATTTATCATCATCACGAAGGGTCCTTTGATGTCACAGGGAGTGGAGAATGCGATATGTTAACAATATTGGTTTATGGGGTGCCGTTCAGATATTTATCTTTAAAATGTGCTTTTAATAACTCCAATTAGAGACATTGAAATTTCATTTAGTGATATCGCTAATTCAATATAGATCAACTTGATAGATAGCATTCCATAACCTCTTTATATCACCTATTTACTTAAACGGCTTCTCTGGGTTACTATCCATAAATGGAATATTCACAACAGAGAAATTGAAAACACCACAATTAGTATCCTCACGGCGAAATGCTGTCACTGTTGGTTTGGTAGCAGGAAATCAAGGTAAGAGTCTGCTGTGTCCTTGACATTTATTGCTAATTCTAAAGAATATATAGGATAGTCATGGTAAATAATGTTATTTAAAGACAAAACACAATCGATAACGTTAAAAGTTATACCACATGAAAAAAGGGCAAAACAAAATAGATAAATAAATGACTTTTTGACAAATTGAGAGAAGTGTGGTTTTGATTTCACACAGTGGATGAGAATCCGTAAGTCTACTTGTAGCCACGAGACATACATACGCTACGTTAATACAATTTACAGCAGTGTTACCAACTTAAAAGGTCATAATAACATTACAATACTCCTCAATGTGTGATTAATACTACACTAGTTTTATAAATCGTGTTACCTAAAATTGTATTAGGGATGTATACACATATAACATGGCTGATCAAGTTTTTGTAGAAGACAATGAAATGTAGATATTTGTTTCTCATTGAATGAAGAAAGGAAAAATTACCTTTTTATTTTTTATCAGATATGCAAAGTTTTATTGCTTCCAAATACAAAGATAGTCGTAGACGAATAATTTAATTAACACTGGCGAGATCGTAGATGGTTAAACACTTAAATAAACAATACCACTTGGAGACTAGAGTTAGCAATAACATATAGAAAGTGCTCAGATTGAAATTGGTTTGTATCGGCAGGCTTAGATGAGATTGGAGTTGGTTTGGAGACATACAATGTCATGGATTAGAGTACCGGCTACAGATACAAACAAACTCCTGTCCATCACAGAGTACAGATACAAACAAACCCCTGTCCATCACAGAGTACAGATACAACCCCCGGTACATCACAGTGTACAGATACAAACCTCGGTAAATCACAGTGTACAGATACAAACCCCGGTACATCACAGAGTACAGATACAAACAAACCCCGGTACATCACAGAGTACAGATACAAACAAACCCCGGTACATCACAGAGTACAGATACAAACAAACCCCGGTACATCACAGAGTGCAGATTCAAACAAACCCCGGTACATCACAGTGTACAGATACAATCCCTGATACATCGCAGAGTACAGATACAAACCCCGGTACATCACAGAGTACAGATACAAACCCTGGTACATCACAGTGTACAGATACAAACAAACCCCGGTCCATCACAGAGTACAGATACAAACAAACCCGGTAAATCACAGAGTACAGATACAAACAAACCCCGGTATATCACAGAGTACAGATACAAACAAACCCGGTACATCACAGAGTACAGATACAAACAAAGCCCGGTCCATCACAGAGTATAGATACAAACAGACCCCGTTCCATCACAGAGTACAGATACAAACAAACCCGGTACATCACAGAGTACAGATACAAACAGACCCCGGTACATCACAGTGTACAGATACAATCCCTGATACATCGCAGAGTACAGATACAAACCCCGGTACATCACACAGTGGTACATCACAGTACAGATATACAATCATCACAGAGTACAGATACAAACAAACCCGGTACATCACAGAGTACAGATACAAACAAACCCCGGTATATCACAGAGTACAAACAAACCCGGTACATCACAGAGTACAGATACAAACCCCGGGTACATCACATCACACAAAGTACATCACAGAGTACAATACAAAAACCCGGTACATCACAGAGTACAGATACAAACAAACCCCGGTACATCACAGAGTACAGATACAAACAAACCCCGGTACATCACAGAGTACAGATACAAACAAACCCGGTACATCAAACCCCGGTACATCACAGTACAGTACAAACACCAACGGTACATCCCGGTACATCACAGAGTACAGATACAAACAGACCCGGTTCACTAACTTCTAAATTATACAAAAAAGCCCGGTCCATCACAGAGTACAGATACAAACAAACCCCGGTACATCACAGAGTACAAATACAAACAGATACAAACAAACCCCGGTACATCACAGAGTATAGATACATACAGTACCCGGTACATCACAGAGTACAGATACAAACAAACCCGGTACATCACAGTGTACAGATACAAACAGACCCCGGTACATCACAGAGTACAGATACAAAAACCACAGAGTACATCACAGAGTACAGATACAAAAATCACAGTGTACAATACCCCGGTACATCACAGAGTACAGATACAATATCAACCCGGTACATCACAGAGTACAGATACAAACAAACCCCGGTACATCACAGTGTACAGATACAAACAGACAGATACAAACCCCGGTACATCACCCCAAACAAACCCCGGTACATCACAAACAAAGTACATCACAGTGTACAGATACAAACAAACCCCGGTCCATCACAGAGTACAGATACAAACAAACCCGGTACATCACAGAGTACAGATACAAACAAACCCCGGTATATCACAGAGTACAGATACAAACAAACCCGGTACATCACAGAGTACAGATACAAGATACAAACATCCCAGTACAAACAAACCCAGGTACATCACAGAGTACAGATACAAACAAAACATCACAGAGTACAGATACAAACAAACCCCGGTACATCACAGAGTACAGATACAAACAAACCCCGGTACATCACAGAGTACAGTACAACAAACCCCGGTACATCACAGAGTACAGATACAAACAAACCCCGGTACATCACAGAGTACAGATACAAACAAACCCGGTACATCACAGGTA